AATTGCCTTTGCGAACCCCCCATAACGCAGCCCACGATCAGTGTGAGCATACTAATCATTTTTACCCTCGTAGTGGGCGCGCATACGGAGATGGGTTGATCATGGGTTCGCCGAATCGTGGATATTTTGCTCGTGAATGATGGGTTTAGCTGTGGATCTCCAGGATTGCCATTGCGAACCCCCGATAACACAGCCCACGAGCAGTGTGAGCATACTAATCATTTTTACCCTTGTAGTGGTCGCGCATATGGAGATGGGTTAATCATGGTATCGCCGAATCGTGGATATTTCGCTCGTGAATGATGGGTTTAGCCGTGGTTCTCTAGGACCGCCATTGCGAACCCCCGATAACGCAGCCCACGATAAGTGTGAGCATACTAATTATTTTTACCCTTGTACTGGTCGCGCATACGGAGATGGGTTAATCATGGTATTGCTGAATCGTGGATATTTCGCCCATGAATGACGGGTTCAGCCGTGGTTCTCTAGGACCGCCTTTGCGAACCCCCGATAACGCAGCCCACGATCAGTGTGAGCATAGTAATTATCATTACCCTTGTACTGGTCGCGATAGTATCTTACGAAATTTGACAACAACCACTACAATGAGTATTATCAAGGCGATGGTATCAAACGAAACTTGACAACAACCACTATCGACGCTGTCGATTCGACGGTATTTTGGCGGCGATAGTATCTTACGAAATTTGACGACAACCACTATCAAGGGTATTTTGACGGCGAGAGTATCTTACGAAACATGACAACAATCACTATCGACGCTGTCGATTCGACGGTATTTTGACGGCGATAGTATCTTACGAAATTTGACGACAACCACTATCAAGGGTATTTTGACGGCGAGAGTATGTTACGAAATTTGACAACAACCGCTATCGTGGATATTATGATGGCGATAGTATCTCACGAGACTTGACAACAACCACCATCGAGGGTGTCTCGACGGCAATAGCATCTTACGAAATTTGACAACAACCACTATCGAGGATATTTTGATGGCGATAGTATCTTACGAA